TGTTACGCTTATCCTCGAAACCTTGAGGGATTTCCCAAATACCTTCCGGCTCGTATCGCTGGATTGTTAAATAAATGCTTACGATGACCAAATAGTAGTACAATTAACTTAATTGTACAACAAACAATTTACAATACTTGCTAATACAGTAAAAACACTTTACAATACTTGTTAAAGCAATAACAACGCTTTACTAAACTTGTTAACACAATTAAACTTATAGCTTGCTTACTCGCAACTCACTTCTCTGCTCACATTACTTGTAGCTTGCTGACTTGTAACTAACTCACTTCGCTGTGGCGGCGCCCTTATATACCTGCGCTAGCACTTATGGCAACTCTAGAACATTCTGAAGTTTATCGCTCATTCTCTTTCTCTCGCTGTTCGCAGTGTTCATCCAACTTGACGTTTCTCTTTGTGGAACATTCTACGTCATTCCTCGAACATTCTGCCTATTTCTCGTTGTTCGCTTTGTGTTGCCGCAGTATTCGCCACACTATGTATATAATGTATACACATTGCGAGAAAAGGTAAAAAACGAAATTATGGCTTTTTTTTATAAAAATGTATGTTTTTCTCTAAAAAATACGTAACTAACTATACTAAAGAAATATATACAAACCATTTTTTAATCACCTTATTTGTTATAAGATTGAGTTGCAGGATTAAATGGATAATTAATCAAGCTACGCTATCCACAGTATTTTTGCGTAGAATTCCTTTATGCGTAGGCGGTCTTCGGCCGCGCTTAGGGATTATAACCCTCACTACGTAGAAGTCTTCTTTCTGTGTTGCCAAATAAAAGGGGCTGAACACCTTTTGCAGTGAACACCTTTCTGCGTAGGCGGCCTTCGGACGCGCTTAGAGATTATAACCCTCACAACGTAGAATTCTCCTTTCTGTGTTGCCAAAGAAAAGGGGCAGAACACCTTTTGCAGAGAACACCTTTTTGCGTAGGCGGCCTTCGGCCGCGCTTAGGGATTATAACCCTCACTACGTAAAATTGTTCTTTCTGTGTTGCCAAATAAAAGGGGGTGAACACCTTTTGCAGAGAGCATATAACATTAATATAGTTGTTTTATTGCACTGCTGGCAGTTGTACTTAAACCTAACTATAATAAATTATACGCCAAATTATAGGTATTTGTATGGTATTTCCGATAAACATATTTGTTAATATAGTTAATTACGAATTTATTTACGAAAAACATACATTTTTATAAAAGAACAATTGCCATAATTTCGTCTTACTTTTTCTTAAAATATGTTTGCATTATATAAATAGATATATATAATGAATGAAAGGTCCTTCAACTACCTTTCCAACTGTGTCCATATTTTGAAAATCGGTTCAATAATTTTCAAAATATAAGCTTTCGGAAATGTTGGAAATTGCACGTTTAGCCCCCCTAGCGCCGCCCCTGCCAATTTGCACCAAAAAAAAAGTTTACCATTAAACTCCACGGTGCAGCGAACAAAGGTGGCGCCGTCAGTGGTACCGCTACTTTGGTTTCGCCGATTTTGACATTTGTGGTAACTTGTAAACAAACTTTTGTTACAAATCAGCGAAAGAGAAATTTGAATTATAAGTGAAAAATCAGTTTAAATTGTGTTAATTTGCAATTTGTGAGTGATTTTTGAGTTGAAGACTGCGTAAAAACTAATAAAATGAAGTGCTGTGTGTTAAATTGCGACAGTCGTCAAGATGCAAGAAGCGTAGATGCAAGTGTAGCGCTGGGACGAATCGCTGCATTTTGTGTACATAGGGCACGGCAAAGCCGTTCCCGAAATGTTTCTCTATTATTATATTAACAGCATTTCCTCACAATGATTTTGTTTCTGCTCCACGCAGCCTCCATTAGCAAGTTAACTAATCAATCCCGCAGAGATGCTGCAGCAGCCTTAATTGCAAAGCAATGGAGTGCACTAAAACGTTTGCTGAATCAGCCTCAATTGCAAAGCAATGGAGTGCACTAAAATGTTCACTGTTCTCTAATAGATTAGGTGAAAAATGCAATATTTACACATTTAGCAAAATTAAAACACGTTTTGCGCTGTAAAGTGAACTGCTTTTGCAGTTTCAACTCGTTCTTCTTTTCGCTCTATTCTTTGTTTACTTGTGGTACACAAATGTCAACGCCCAGGACGGCGCAATCTTGTATTCTATCATTCTTGATTAAACTCAGCAGAAAGGGGTGCACCACGTCCACGTTTTCTTTTTTCTCTAGCTCAAGGGTCCGTATTCTTTAGGTATGCCATTATTAGTATGGGAGTATACATATCGCCCATATGCCATAAACATGAATGTGTAAAAATGAAAATTTTGGGAAATCAAGTTTGAAAGTTTTTTTTGACACAGCTCTACATTTATGCAATTGAAATTTTAAAATATTTACTTTCCGTGTAACTTTGAAGCGATTGTCGTTCAAACGATACTGACAAAACGATGTCGTCAAAACACTGGTTCATGCTGTTACGTGCTACTGTTACTGTTACGTGAAGCAAAACTGGAAATGAGTGAACGATATTGCACAAACGATCCAGCAATTTTTGGTTTTCATGAAACAAGACAATCTCAGCACGATATCGTCCAGATGATTGTCGTCATACGTGATTCATGCCCTGGGTTAAGGTATAACATAGAAAATCCAAAGATTAACCAAGTCAACCCAATAACTCAAAACTGATAAATTTGCACATTCATGCTTCTGGCATGAGGGTGACGATATGTGAATTAAAAACTTTAAAGGCGTGTTTCTCGGGTCTTCGGTTTTTTGAGTGGCATACATCAAGATAACCAACCGTTCAGCTATAGAAAAACTAAAAATGCAGATTGATAGTACTTTTTACGCTAATTTAACCTATATAAATATTATTTGCCGCAATTAAAAAGTAAAGTAGATATAAAATGTAAAACAAAAAAATTGTGATATTTTAAAATAATAATATTTTCTAAACTGCGTAACCGATTCAAAAGGTTNTAAAATATTTACTTTCCGTGTAACTTTGAAGCGATTGTCGTTCAAACGATACTGACAAAACGATGTCGTCAAAACACTGGTTCATGCTGTTACGTGCTACTGTTACTGTTACGTGAAGCAAAACTGGAAATGAGTGAACGATATTGCACAAACGATCCAGCAATTTTTGGTTTTCATGAAACAAGACAATCTCAGCACGATATCGTCCAGATGATTGTCGTCATACGTGATTCATGCCCTGGGTTAAGGTATAACATAGAAAATCCAAAGATTAACCAAGTCAACCCAATAACTCAAAACTGATAAATTTGCACATTCATGCTTCTGGCATGAGGGTGACGATATGTGAATTAAAAACTTTAAAGGCGTGTTTCTCGGGTCTTCGGTTTTTTGAGTGGCATACATCAAGATAACCAACCGTTCAGCTATAGAAAAACTAAAAATGCAGATTGATAGTACTTTTTACGCTAATTTAACCTATATAAATATTATTTGCCGCAATTAAAAAGTAAAGTAGATATAAAATGTAAAACAAAAAAATTGTGATATTTTAAAATAATAATATTTTCTAAACTGCGTAACCGATTCAAAAGGTTATGATGTCAAAATAAAGACAATTAATTTATCTTCAAGCTGATATATAAAATGTGTATGCCTTTTTATATATTTAAGCCAAAAATGTTATAAAACAAAAAATGACATAATTTTTTCATAAAATAACCTTTTTTTTAGAAAAAGTCCATAATCAGTGCTAAAAAAAATTATATTATTTATAAAGTGCAAGTTTTTACCTTTAATTTGATATACATATTATATTATGATTTCCTTTTGAGTTTTCAGAATTTAGTGATAGTAAAAAATATAAATGCATGTATGTGCAAATGCATATTGTAGTTAATTATTGTAATATTAATTGGCCGTTCGTCAAAGGGGCGGTGGGCGAAAGGCAAGTGAGCGTGGCACCTCTAACCCACTGAATAACTCAGTGAGAGGGGAGACCAGTATGTTTGCATGTATGTATATATAAAGTAATGTAAAAAAAATTTTTTTTTAAAAATAAGCTTTTATTTAACATGTTTAATCAAAGGAATAAAATAAAGTAGTGAAACAAAAGATTTTTTAGCAAGAAAATTTTGTCAAAACTGCACTAAAATGAATAAAATAAAACAAGTTAAGGTCTCGTTAAAGTTACTAAAAGCCGTTTAGTGAAAGGAGTTATTCAAACTCTAATGAAAATTACTAACAATTTGTACTAATTTACTTCGTTTTTAAAAAAAGCTTGTCGCGCGAATAGCAAACCGGCATTTAAATATCTGCATACATACATATAAACACATACATACCTAACCAATTATGCATGTACGCTGAATTACCTCATCTTTCCCAAGGCTACATCACCGGGATGGTAACCCCAGTTGGTGCACACCAAACGGAGAATTCTATTTGGTAAGGGTTATAACCCCTAAGTGCGGCCGAAGAAAGAAGTTCTGAATTCTTAAACCTCAAAAGTAGATCATAATAAAATATGTATATCAAATAAAAGGTAAGAACTTGCACTCTCTAAATAATATATATGTATTTAGCATTGATTATGCACTCTTTTCTAAAAAAGGTTATTTTATGAAAAAATTATAACATTTTATTCGTTTTTTAATATTTTTGGCTTAAATATATAAGCAAGCAAACACATATTATATATCAACTTAAAGATAGGTTAATTGCCTTTATTTTGATATCATTACTTTTTTAATCGGTGACGTAGTTTAGAAAATATTAACCTTTTATATCTCCTTTAAAGTGTGTTTGCATTGTTCAACTTTGCATTCAACTTTTGGTTGAATGGCCTTTCAACTAATCGCTTTCAACAAAGTTGGTCGCCAGCCAACATTTAGCCATTCAACTTTTTTTTCGTGCAACCCTGCGTTGAGTTGAACGCAATTGTTGAACGCAAAGTTGAACAATGCAAACACTGCTTTACTTTTTAATTGCGGCAAATAATATTTGTATAGTTGAAATAAGCGTAAAAAGTACTATCGGTATGCATTTTTAGTTTTCCCATAGCTGAACAGTTGGTTATCTTGATGTGTTCCTTCGAACGTTCGCCACAATATTTATTGGGTAATACCATGTTCTGACCGACATCGAAAACATGTTTTCGTTGCTAAAACTGGTTTTTGACTTAACACTTGTGTTTTCGTCCATGTAAAATCTTTCAAACGAAAACCAGTTTTCGCTGAAAACTACTTGAAAACTCACGTTCCACTCATTCCAATCAGTGTCTTTACTAGTTTTTTTCGATTATCTATCGAAGTGGAAGTCATATTTTATCAAATTTAATACGCCATTTCGGATTTATTGTTAATTGGCTGGTAAAAGTAAAATAAGAATGAAAGTAAGAGGTTGCAAATGAAAAGAAAATGAGGGAAAAGTATGGGTGAATTCCAAAACGTCAAAATACAAAACATCAGTATCTTTTATTTCTAGACCTCAGTAGATTTGAATGCCAAATGTGCGCAACCACGGTTAGATGCTAGTTTTCTACTAAGTTGCGCAAGTTAGGCTTTTTCTTCTAGTGTGGTTTAGAAATAAAAGAGACTGATACTTTGTATTTTGACGTTTTGGAAAGCACCCTATTTTGTTTTTGTTTATGTGTTGCAGAACTGTAATCAGAGGATGTAAGAAATGTCAACGAAAACACTAACAGCCGGAGTGAACAGTCTTCAGCCCTCAATCCCAAAACACGTTTTCAAAGTGTTTTCGTTGTCGATCAGAACATGGTATAATTTAAAAAAAAAAATACTTAAAAATGTTCTTAACTCGTCGATACCTTTCGGCATTCGCTATATTTACTCAGGACTTGTGAAAAAGTATCGAGTTCTCGATACAACCGGTTGAATTTAAATAGATACCATTGAATACATTTTTAGACGAAATTTTGCGGGATACTTATTTTTTCCGGTCAGTATAAATGTGGATACTTTTTTAAATAGGCCAAAATTTTATATTTCCTATAAAGTTTTTTTCGTTCAAAAATCGATTTTCATTAAAGATGGTAGAAAGCATTACGTTTTATAAACGTATAAAGAATTGCTACTTAAGCGTGAAATTAAAGCATTTTATTTTTTGCGAACGAAGCAATGAACATATGAAGAGATCTCACCAAAATAGGTATAAGCGCAATTGCTTTAATTAGCTTAAAAGGATGCTTTAAGCAAGATCTTAATAAACATATCGTCGTTTAAAGTACAAAACCGCGTATCAACAAAATGCAAAACCGCGTATCAAGATAATGCAAAACCTCGTACGGGACGTTGCATAAATTATTTTCTAGAGAGTAAAAACACTTATATTTCAAAATGGTTCTCTTTTTTATAAAGCAATCGCATTTCTGCTAGTATATTTCAGGACGAATGGATAAGGATTGAGCCAAGAGCTTGTGTGAGCAAATCCAATTTTTGGCAGCAAATGTCAGTTACGCGGTTTTGCAGAATGACGATACGCGGTTTTGTACTTTAACCGACGATATATATAAAGTAAATTATACTCTTTCTGTAGTAATCTCTTTCATATCACATATTTTCATATGTTAATTTAAAAGAAAGAAGATTTCAATGTAGTTTAGAAAACTAAATTTGATTTATTTAAGGAAACTTTTATGAATTTTACTGAAAAGGCTTTAAATACACTCTAAAAAA